GACGCCCGAGCAGCTGCAGGCATATCGCTGGGAAAAGGAGATCGACGAGAGAAACAGGCCTTACACAGACGACGAATTGGACCAAATCTTCCCACCTGGTTACAAAATTTTACCCCCACCAGCTGGATACGTTCCACTCCGCACTCCCGGCAGGAAGCTGATGGCCACACCCACTCCAATCGCTGGCACTCCAGCTGGATTCTTTATCCAAGTGGAGGATAAGAATGCCAAGTTCATGGACAATCAACCAAAGGGACAGAATCTCCCGTTCATGAAACCTGAGGATGCGCAATATTTCGACAAACTCTTGGTGGACGTCAATGAAGATGCTTTGTCGCCGGAGGAACTCAAGGAGCGGAAGATTATGAAGCTGCTGCTGACCATCAAGAACGGCTCGCCACCCATGAGGAAGTCGGCCTTAAGGCAGATAACGGACAAAGCCAGAGAATTTGGAGCAGGTCCCTTGTTCAATCAGATCCTTCCGCTGCTTATGTCGCCCACTTTGGAGGATCAGGAGCGTCATTTGCTGGTGAAAGTTATTGATCGTGTTCTGTACAAACTGGACGATTTGGTGCGACCTTATGTGCACAAGATTTTGGTGGTCATAGAACCTCTGTTGATCGATGAAGATCACTATGCCCGCATAGAAGGTAGGGAAATCATTTCCAATCTGGCCAAGGCTGCTGGCTTGGCCACCATGATCTCAACCATGAGACCGGATATTGACAACATCGATGAGTATGTGAGAAACACCACAGCGCGAGCCTTTGCCGTGGTGGCCTCAGCATTGGGCATTCCCTCGCTATTGCCCTTCTTAAAAGCCGTGTGCAAGTCGAAGAAATCCTGGCAGGCGCGTCACACTGGTATCAAGATTGTCCAACAGATAGCCATTCTCATGGGATGCGCTATATTGCCACATCTTAAAGCCTTGGTGGAGATTATCGAGCACGGATTGGTGGATGAGCAGCAGAAGGTGCGCACAATTACAGCCTTGGCCATTGCTGCTCTGGCGGAGGCTGCCACTCCGTACGGTATTGAGTCCTTTGATTCCGTGCTGAAGCCCCTGTGGAAGGGTATTCGTACCCATCGAGGCAAAGGTCTGGCCGCCTTCTTGAAGGCCATTGGTTATCTAATTCCCCTGATGGACGCCGAGTACGCTAACTACTATACCCGAGAAGTGATGTTGATCCTCATCCGTGAGTTCCAGTCTCCGGATGAGGAAATGAAGAAGATCGTCTTGAAGGTGGTGAAACAATGTTGTGCCACCGATGGTGTGGAGCCGCAGTACATAAAAGAGGAGATCTTGCCGCACTTCTTCAAATTCTTTTGGAACCACCGCATGGCGCTGGACAGACGAAACTACCGACAGCTGGTAGACACCACCGTGGAGATTGCCAACAAGGTGGGCGCCTCTGAGATCATCAATCGTGTGGTGGATGACCTGAAGGACGAGAATGAACAGTACAGGAAAATGGTGATGGAAACAGTGGAGAAGATCATGGGCAATCTGGGAGCAGCGGACATTGATTCACGCCTGGAGGAGCAGCTTATTGATGGCATTCTGTACGCCTTCCAGGAGCAGACCACCGAGGACGTGGTGATGTTGAATGGCTTTGGTACCATTGTCAATCAGCTGGGCAAGCGAGTTAAGCCCTATTTGCCACAGATTTGTGGTACGATTCTTTGGCGACTGAACAACAAATCCGCGAAAGTGCGTCAGCAAGCGGCGGATCTGATCTCCAGAATAGCGGTAGTGATGAAAACCTGTCAGGAGGAGAAGCTAATGGGTCATTTGGGTGTTGTGCTGTACGAATACCTTGGTGAGGAGTACCCTGAAGTATTGGGCAGTATCCTGGGCGCCCTGAAGGCCATTGTAAATGTGATCGGCATGACCAAGATGACGCCTCCCATCAAAGACTTACTTCCCCGTCTTACACCTATCCTAAAGAATCGTCACGAGAAGGTGCAGGAGAACTGCATTGACTTGGTGGGACGAATTGCAGATCGAGGCCCAGAATATGTGTCTGCTCGCGAGTGGATGCGCATCTGCTTTGAGCTTCTGGAGTTGCTAAAGGCCCACAAGAAGGCAATTAGGAGAGCCACGGTTAACACCTTTGGTTACATCGCCAAGGCAATTGGACCCCACGACGTGCTGGCTACTCTGCTGAATAATCTAAAAGTCCAGGAGCGTCAGAACCGCGTGTGCACCACTGTGGCCATTGCCATTGTGGCTGAATCCTGCCGACCCTTCACCGTGCTCCCTGCTTTGATGAACGAGTACCGAGTACCCGAGTTAAACGTTCAAAACGGAGTTCTGAAGTCCCTTTCCTTCCTCTTCGAATACATCGGGGAAATGGGCAAGGATTACATATATGCTGTCTGCCCACTCCTCGAAGATGCCCTAATGGACCGAGATCTGGTCCACAGACAAACCGCCTGCTCCGCCATCAAGCACATGTCGTTGGGAGTCTATGGCTTTGGCTGCGAGGATGCTTTGACGCATCTCCTTAATTACGTGTGGCCCAATATCTTTGAGACCTCCCCCCATCTTGTGCAGGCCTTCATGGACTCCGTCGATGGTTTAAGGGTGTCTCTGGGACCCATCAAGATCCTGCAGTACACGCTACAAGGACTTTTCCATCCCGCTCGCAAAGTGAGGGACGTCTACTGGAAGATCTACAACTCGCTGTACATCGGAGGTCAGGACGCACTGATTGCCGGCTATCCGCGGATCACCAACGACCCGAAGAACCAGTACGAGCGATACGAACTGGATTACACGCTCTAAGTTTTTTAGCTAATCGGCTAGCAGTAGGATTCTCTAAGATACAAATATATAAATCCAAACTATACCAAATAAGTTTTTCTTTTGAATGAATCCTTCTAAGGTTGTTACAGTGGTATTTTCTGCCGCAAGTAATCTGAACTGAATCATTACAAGAAATATTTCCTGCTCTATTTTTAATCGTAAGCGATTTATCTTCAAAAAGATTAGATAGTTGTTTATTTACTGTTCGTATTTAAGCATGTGCTTAAGAAGATAAAGCAGACGAATCATCTATACAACCATTTCTTACATCGATGGCGTGATCTTAGTCATTTCTTTTGAAAGAGGCGCTAACTAGTTGCGTAGTAACATCCCATTCATAAGTTCGATCTGAAGTTCATTATTTATAATATAAACAATTTGTAAAAAACCGGGTTTTATTCTACGTTTAGAGTAGCTCCCCAATCCTCAACAGGTGGGCATCTACTGTGGACTAATCTTTTGGCTTAGGCGATAATACAAAAGTTTCTCATTGCAATGAGATTGGAACATGTTCATCTACTACGTCTTTGAGTGGTCTTGGTCCCTTTGATCATCATCGGTGGAGTATTGATTGGACGACTTCTATCAGGCTCTGCAGGCCGAACATGTAGTTCTCGTCTGGCAGGGCCTGTTCCGCTGGATAAACGTGGGCAAAGTCGATCATTCTGACCCGTATCCAGGTGGCGGGGTCATCTTCATTGAGGCGGTGGCCATTGAGCAGGGACTGGCTCGTCGGTGGGTTCCCCAATCTCGAGTAGTCGTAGCAGATGAGCAAAGAGCTGGCATAGAAATGCAGCAGCCGCTGCCGGTGGAACCAGGCGAGGATCTCCTGCAGCTGGCGGAGCACTTCGTTCAGTAGCACCTCGGTGCCCGCTCTCCTGCTTTTGGAATCACTTGTGCTGGCATTGAAGAACAAGGCCATAGTCTGCTTGAATCCCTCTACGTTCAGGCTCTTCCCGTAGTCCTTGCCGTGTCGCAGGATTGTGGTCTCCTTGGGATGCTCCTCGTTGGGCAGATACACCTGGAATCCCGGCAGGCAGAGGCCCAGCTTCTGCTTGCACAGCACGTACTTGGCCTCCTCCAGATTCCGCTTGTTGGGTGAGGACGCTGGGTCCCAAGTTCGTTTACCCATCTTCACGTCCATGACGCACGGCTGGCGCATCCCACGCGTAAGGTCTTCCAGGCGGAGGAACGAGCGCTCGCGCCGATTCACAACCAGTTTCAGGGGGCCGTAAAACCGGGGGACGTGATCGCGGAGCAGGGCAAGGTCATTATCACCTGAAGCAGCTGCCGCAGCGAGTGACTCATAGAAGCGCAGCTCCCGTTCGCCGCACTCCGGCTTCCCTAGGGGCTTCAGGACGCATCCTGCCTTCGAGTCCTGCAGGAGGCCCACTGCCTCCGCATTGCTCTCCTCGAATGTGTGGCCGGCGACCTGAGTCCTCAGCTGCCGGAAGCCCTCGGGCAGCTCCTGCTCACTCTTGGCCATGGCGGCGGAGAAGTCGGTGTCCGGTAGACGTCTTGTCCTGGAGCAGCACCACTGAAGGCGGCTGAAATGCAAACACTAGCCCGCAAATCTCACGCAGAAAATGTTTCGCGCACTTAGTAGTGGGTGAGAAATATCGATGGGAACATGGCGACTATCGACATCGGGAAACGGTGCGGAAGATATGTGTGTACATAAATAAACAACGCTTTAATAATTAAAGTTACAAACTGTATAACATATATTTTTAGATATTCACTGGTGGTGGGGGAAGAAGATACGGTGGATTTTAACCAGGGAGAACTTATTAAGCCGTAAGTATATATTTGCAATAACTTTTCTTGAATAGGCCAATCCCTTAAGATGATCTCCCAGAAGAAGAAGATTTATTTAAGTTTATATAATTTTTTCTTTTATTTGTTTTAACTTGGGCCATTAAATTAATTTAGTTTTTTAATCATCTGTGAACGGGTTCGCTGCAATCTGGCAATGCCTTTGGCGGGAACACATTCTGAACATTTAATAGCTATTAAATTTGTTAGCAGTTTTTAAGGTAAAGGACATTTTTCATACCTAATATTAAGGTACAGGCACTAAAAGTGTTTTGAGGTGGATGTTTTATTCCCTCATTTAAATTTGTAGCAAGCTACCCTAAGCGCCACAGGTGGCAGCACTACTTGAAGTTCAGTGTTGCAAAGTGGCTGTTAGTAGGTGTTGCAAAACGCACGCTCTTCTAATTTGTTGTTCTTTTTTGGGAGTGGTGGTTTTGGTTTTGTTTGTTAATTAAACGCGTTTATTTACCTTACCTTATCTTAAGCTTATCTACTATTAACTAATAAGGTATAATATGAAATCCTGGGAGATTGCTCTGGTGGCAGTCGCCGCCATTTACTTGTGTTCGCAAGGTGAGTTTTTGAGCCCGACGTTGGGCCACACCTATGTATGTATAAATGTTAATAAAAATGTAATCAATTCTCTAATTCCAGTAAACTTTGTGACTGGACTGGAGTGCTATGTGTGCTCCAACCAGACGGGCAACACGGAAAAGTGCCTGAACACCATCAAGACCTGTGAACCCTTCGAGAACGTCTGCGGCACGGAGATCCGCTGGGGATCCCAGCCGTACTTCTCGGAGGGAGCGCTCAAGCAGTACTACGTGTCCAAGAGGTGCATGACCAAGGAGCAGTGCCAGTCCAAGAGGAAACGTTACATGCAGCTGTACTGCACCCACATCTGGTACGAGGACTGGGCGTGCAACGAGTGCTGCCAGGGAGATCGGTGCAACTACTTCGTGATTGTGGGTAGAAATTATGACCTATAGGGATCCCCATCTAATCTCACCTTGTTACAGAGTGGCGCTCCTTCGCGGCAGGCTTTGGGAGTCGGCCTGACCCTGTCCATCACACTATTAGGCCTGGGATCTTGGCTCATTCCGCGCTCTTAGCGTGTCATGCTATGACATCACACGCACATTCCGATTTTTGTATTAATTTGACAGAACCGTCTATAAGCTAAGTAGTTTCCACCGTCCATTTATTAAGTAGATCGTCCAAGTGCCTTGACTCAACGTGGAGAATTGGAAAACAATTCCCAAAGTTTTGGGAAGTTGACTTCCCTCTCGAATATTTTACACTTAAAAAAATATGTTTTAACTTGTTTGCCCGTTTCGTTGTTTTGTACGAATCTCATTTTTTTGAGACATATCTTTAACATTGTTTCAAATAAGTTATCAAAGAGACAGCTAAAAATCTACTTTAATGATCGAAAATATGCATATTTAAGTCATAACCCGATCCAAATCGAATATCACCCTGCAATAAAGCAACTTTGACGTCTTTTTGGCGCTTTAATATACAGATATTCCACATTCACATATTGACAGTTCTCCACATCCTTTCAATCACTTGGCGCAGAAGCAGCCGGCAGTTACGGTTACGGTTCTGAACTGCCACGGTTGATCCTTGTTCATCCAGGAGTAGGCTGGATCTGTCTGCCCTGTGCCCTGTGTGAGAACCTTCACCTTGTACTCCAGAGGACGGCAGTTGGATCCGTGGGAGCACTTGGCCAGATTCCGTCCGGAGCCTGATTCACAAACGGCGTTCATCAGGTAGCGCGGATAGTGCATGCTGCCCAGATCCACCAGCTCGTTCTAGAGGATTATAGAAAGCTGTGAACACCCATCGGTGCTTATGGAATCCCAACAAACCGTAACTTTGCAATCGCAGCCTGCGGAGTGGACATCGTTGCGTTTGGTGGTCAGCAGGTCCTCATAGAAATCGTTGTAGTACATGGGCGGCAGCTGGTGGGGCATCGCCATTGCAATCTCCGTGGGATGTGGAGTACTCGGACCGAATCCGAAAAGGGCACTTAGCATCTTTGATGTACTGCGATCGGACTGCTGCTCCTCCCCATGCTGTTCCGGACATTGGGGCTCGCAACTCCTGAGACCCAGCATTTCATCGAAGCCTCCATCACTGGAGTACAGACTGGCGTCCCCTGTATTTGTCAGGTTAAGCAGCACCAGCGCCGTTATGGAAATGGGCAACTTGGAAAGGAATAGAGTTATTTTTCCTCCGGTTAAGTTTAAGATGTAGGTGCAGTATCCTTGTGTTACTATCCATATTTTCAGCTGGAACTTACCCACGGCATTTTGCTCGATCTGTGCCTGTCCAGCGCTGAACTCCTTTTGCGGCCCTGGCCAAGGAGTCCCCGCACTTTTATACTCATCTAGGACAAAAGCCGCCTCTCGGATTACCTTTTGTGACAGAGATGAGAGCAGCAGCATCCATTACGGCTCGTCACCTGGACAGGATGGAACAATGGACTCAACGGTTGACATCACAACAATGGCATACCACGCCAAGCTCAAGTGGCCGGCTGATGGGGTTGAGTCCCTTGGCTATTTATACTTTTTTGCTGCTTTCAATAGGGAAATGGCTTTAAGGCCTCAAGTGCCGGCAGAGGTGGAGAACTTTTGGGGGCGGGAGTGGCCAAAGGAAGCCCACTGACCCAGACATGTGTACACTGTACACAGGCAAAGGGCAATCTGATCCCCTTCCCCCACCATCGATGACGTTGACCAGGGTGGGTTTTTGGATTTTTGGGTTCCGAAACAGCTCCGAAAACTTTTGCTGCAGCATACTTTTCAGTGAGAGGATGAATTTCCGATTGGATTTTCATTGTCCGGAATTTCCCTCTGTGGAGGAAGCCACTTTGTTTTCGGATTTCCGATTGCTGGGGTTTTAAGCAATTGGCATTAGCTAATATTCTAAAAATGTATTTGTAATATAAAATCTTTGTTTTTCTATCTTAGCTTGTATAGTTAAGCTAATATTTTTCCTTATAAAATAATAAGATAAGCATAAGGGTATAAAGTAATAGTTAAAATCGTATCTTAAATACCCAAACTACATCCTCCGAAGCCAACATGAACTGCGCTCCTGCCACCATAAACTATGAGCTCACTGTGTCTCCCAGTTTGGCCAGCTTGGGTCAGGTGCAGCGCCTCTGGCATAACAAGCTCGGCTAGAACGACTGCCCAAGAGACTAGACCGGGTCAGACCTTTATACACACGATAGAGCATATAGTATAGACCATTGCTGGTAGGGAGCCCACGAGTACAGTGGACTCTGGGCGACTTCTACGGCTTCCGCCGACGGGCAGCACGCACTGTCACTGTCCGCTGTGGAAATCCAAATCCTCCTCAGTCGAATTCGCGTCGTCGAGGCAAGAACATTGCCGTGCCACATAGTTTGACATGCACAGCCGGACCATTTGACATCGCAATCTAAAATCGAGTGTGAGAAGTCGGGAATCGGAAACGGAAACGGAATCGGAGGAGATGCAGCTTCCTTTGGTGGCGGATTTGTGCTGAGCTGTGCAGCTGCCTTCTTGGAGAGACTTCATCCGTTTTTTGTCGTCGTCGTCGTTGTTGTTGTACAGTTTTTCCGCCGTGGAATTTGTCCAAGCGGAAAAGCGAAAAGAAGCAGCACCGCGAAGCCCTCGAAGTGTCGACGAAAATCGTTAAAAAATAGAAAAACACTCGGCGACTATGTCACGACGCGCTTGAAGACCCCCATCCGCTTCGAGGGAGATATTGAGATTGAGCGAGATCCAAGCCTCAGCGGGCACTACATCGCCACCCACTCTATCCATCCAAACCTACCCACTTCATACTCAGGATTCGCATGGACAAAGGCACAATGAAGCGCAAGCAGAGGAGATACAGGTATGGATCGGGGTATCACCCAGATATGGTGAGGTGTAAAAAACAAAGGATCGGAAATATGACAAAGGAATTATATTCACTTTTTTAAGGGGTAGAGTAAAAATTGATTTGATTTATTTTTAACTATGTATCCTAAAGGAAAAGAAGAAATATTTCGATGATAGGTTTAAAATGTATCATATATGATTACATTTTATTATTGTTATTGCTTAAAAATGTAATTTATATTTATCTAACTATAGGTAATATTATTATAATGTTATTGCTACTTCAAAACGTTTTATAAAAATGGAATACTATTTCATGTCAATTTGCCAAGTTCATATTATTTAAAGATGTATGTGATTTTTACTTGCCGTAACCAGTCCAATCTTTTGAGACACATCTTTTTTTAAGAAAATATCCTAACTAATTTAAATAAAAATTCATTGATCCACCATGCTACATATTTATTTATTTATTTTATTATTATAGCAAATATTATAAATTTAAAAAAATGATCCATCATCACTATTCAAAGACAAGTTATTAGATTGATTAATTGATATAAAATATTCTTAATCTTTTTGCCGCAGAACCACATTTAACACCCTGCAGTTGCAGGAGCTGGAGAGGGCGTTCCAACGAACCCACTATCCGGACGTGTTCTTTCGGGAGGAGCTGGCGGTACGGATCGACTTGACGGAGGCACGGGTGCAGGTGTGGTTTCAGAACCGGCGGGCCAAGTGGCGCAAGCAGGAGAAGATCGGTGGTCTGGGCGGCGAGTACAAGGAGGGAGCGCTGGATCTCGATGTGGCCTACGACGATAGTGCTGTGCTCGGCCAACTGGACAGTGCGTTGGGTAGGAAGCACAAAGGACTTCAAGTTTTACCTGTAGAACAAGTATATATTTTCATTTATTCTAGGTGGCGGCGGAACTCTATTGCCGGACACCCCTCCGCAATCCTCGAACTCCCTGGATAACGAACTGAAGGCTTCCTATGGCACAGGGGCCATGTCGCCCTCCAGGCTATCACCGAATATATTCCTCAACCTCAACATTGACCACCTGGGACTGGAAAGAGGTGGCAGTGGTCTCTCGATGGAGTGGTCCACCTATCCTCCGCCTCAAACGCAAGCGCAGACACAACCGCAGATGGACCCAGAGAATCACCTCCAGCAGCAGCACCCGCCACAACAGCTTCAAACCCATCCGAATCACCATGAGAACTCGAATCCTCACCACCAGCAGCAGCAGCAGCATAATGGCCAGCATCATCAGGGTCTCGAGTTCGCCGCCTCCATGAACTTGGACATGGCCGATGGCTCCTCCGCCTACGATGAGATGAAGTTCCTCAGCGTGGACGTGGACCAGTTTACGATCGACAGCTTCAAGGCGGACTGCATTCTAAGCATGGAGCAGTCCCAGATGCAGCCATATGTGGGTCACTCCCAGCTGGTCGGGTCCTCTAATGAGCTGTGTCTCGAGGGGATCGGCATGTCCGAGTTTGGAATGGAAGAGGGCGAGCCCAAGACGCCCCCCTCACTTTTGGTGCTGGACAAGACGCTGCCCTCCTTGAGCATTGGAGTCGAGGGAATTGCTGATCTTGTGGAGCAACTGCATCATCAGCAACATGAGGGTGGGCCAGTGGGCGGTGGTGTCATCACTAGCGACGTATTGTGAATCCAACTTAGGTGAATTCTTTGCTTAGTTAAACGTAAACTTAATCCAATTGTAGCTTTAATTTAAATTGCTCCATCTTGTGGTGATGGATATAGGGGGAAATGGAGTGTGAAGCCTGTTCTAGTTCTGTTCTTGTTTTTTAGTCAATGCTAATGCCCAAGTTCAAGACCAAACAAGGTCGCCACACTTGAATTCAAATACTTTAAAAAATTTTATTATCAAAGCTTAGATTTTCTTACAGATTACTTTAGTCCTTGAAATTTCTCTAGATTAGTGTAATTTTAAAAATTCCAGCCATGAAAACGTTGTTTATTATAAGAGAATCTGTAAATTATTGACTAAATATTTCTAATATTTGAAGACAAAACTTTTTTTGGTTGAGAACCTTTGGCGCAGTGTTAAATTCAAAAAGTGAGTAGAGAGGAAACATTCAAATCGAGACGAAACGGGTCCTTAACTACGAGTACAGCTACCATTTTTGGCCAGGTTCTGTTTTGGCTTTTATGGATTCCGCATGTGTGTGCCCAACAATGGAGTCCCCCTACGCTCCTGCCACGCCCCTACCCTCCTGCACACGCCTTATTTGTGGCTCGGATTAGAGGCAAACTAATTGTGCGATTTGAATGGATTTCGGGTTTCAGTTCTGTTTGTTCGGCAATAACATTTGCTTTGCTTTTTAACAATTGCTGAAGAGCCCCAGCCCCTGAACCTCGGACCATCCCACTGGCTGGCTGTAATTTCCATTTACTGTTATTACCGTGGACTCCTGCGGAACCTGATCCTAAGCAGTCTTAACGAAGGACTCCTACACTCCATTTAAAAGCCGCCTCGGCTTATGGAAAAGCTCGCAGCAGATGAGGGCTTAATGTGGGCGGACAACAGAGGAGTGGCGAAGTTGGAAATTAAGAGATACCAGATATAAGCAACATAGACTTTTCGAAACGTGTGCAATAAAAAGAGGCTTTATAACGATTCTTTTATATAATTTTTATTATTAATTTAGTTTGTTTACACTGTAGCCGAAAGATCAAAACCTTGGGTTTTATAGTTAGAATTAAGAGTTTTTCTTGTTTATTTTTTTAATAAAAATAATAAGTGGAAGACACAAATTTTTTTTTATTATCATTATAGGCAATTCAAATAATAATGTTTCTTAAGAACTGAAGAAACTAAATTAAAATATATTTTTGTGTAATATTGAAAGTTTTGAGATGTTTGCACGTAGCTTTAAGTTTTTAACTAGATTTTGAATTTTTTGAGACCTTTATATACTTCTGACATAATTTATTTCAGAACACCCTCCATCTAAATGTTTAAAATTCTTATAAATATATAATGAACAGAAATGATCACGTGAGGGTGCTTGGCTTGATTAAGACTCTTCCGGTTGGACCAGCAAAGCTTGCTGGACTTAAGACAAAGCTTTCAAGGGAATGGAGCGGCAAAAGGCCCGACAGAGGTAAAGATTCGGTGCTGGGGGCACCCGGCTCAGCTGGCTTAACACCTTGGCAAGCTCCTTGTGGATTTTGCGAGGCCAAGGGCCACCTAGAGCCACCCCATCCCACCCCATCCCCTTTCGGCTGCCATTTTGCAGCTGACAATGACGGGGACAATAAGCTAATTGAGGCTGAGGTGGATGTCGCAGCGGCGGACAGGCCACAGACCCAAAAACCCAACGGCACACGCTCGGATGGCCAAAAAAGTTCATTATCCCCGGTCGAGGGTTGGCATGGCGGATGGCGGATGGCCCTTGGATGCCGATGAGGATGAGGATGAGGACGCGACCGGTTGCCATTGGATAATCTTCTGTTATGAGGCCGCGCAACGATGCGCTGTGAGACTCGGTTGGCTTTTTTGAAAGTGAATGAAAGTGTGGGGGAATAACTGATGAAAAGAATTTGGCAAGTCTGAAAGAAATGTAAGACTTTGAAATTCGAAAAACCACTATGAAACTATTATAAATGTCGACACGGCATAATCTCTTTGTTTTTGTTCCAACTATTACATAAAAATCATTTTTTGTGGGCTCTACAGGAACTATTCTCATATTTTAACCCTCCCTACATTTGTTTTTTCTGTCTAGCCTTTCAACCTCCTTCTGCGCCTGTACTGGCACATTTAAAATTAATCGAAAATCTTTTCTTCGGTATTATTTCGAGCACTCGCTTCTCGGGGCTGTGTGCACAAGGACCACAAACTTTAATCGATAGTCAAATAAGCGTCGGTCCTTCGAGGAAGAGGAATGGAAGAGGGATGCGGAATACAGGGGATTCGATACAAGCCATGTGTGCTATACATATAAGGACGTCCTGCGAGAGAGAGCTGAGAGCTGCTCCTTGCTCGGCTTTTGTGCTGTAATTTCTCTAACGTTTGTTTATATTTTATATCGAATGCGCCCCGGGCCGCATAAACGCAATAATCGCACATTTTATGGATTAAACTCACCTGCTTCGCCTGCTAATCTACAGGAGGATTCTTGCCAGGAGCTATGACGTGGGTCAACCACTGGGAAACGTATGATTGATGGTTAGAAAAATCATCTTGAGCTATATTGAAAACAACATTTTGTGAATCCTTTAAAAGAATATCTATACCATCTTAAATATTTTGTCCTTTAAACATATAGGTATTTAGGTATTTGTTTTAGTTACTTACAGTTATTTCAAGGAGATTTTAGAAGAATCCCAAATGAAAAACATACAAAACCTTTTTAATTTAAATGATTGATATAAAGGTAATACATTTAATTATAAAAACGTTTCTGGCTCTGCGTCAAGAGGATTTACACTGTCTACTTTTTCTGATTCAAATATCTTAAAAGAATATTACTGGCAGTTCCTATCCCAGCATCATTGCAGCCGGAATCGGCTTTAATCCTTCCCCGGAGCAGTGCTCCGGTGTTCCACGATAATTCCTCGGCCTGGCCAATCCGTTGCCAATTAGCCACTGGAATTGGACCCCCGACACTCATGAATCCTGAATCTCTCAGTCGGCAAATGAGTTATTCATTATGCATATGCATTCGATTTCCAGCCCCCCTCCTTCCCATCCAACTAACAGGGCAATATTAAATAATGAAATATTAAAATCGAATGCGACTGAAATGGCTTTTGCCCCCTCTTTTCCATTTGGATCTCGGAGAGGTGTTCATGTGAATAAATTGCAATTAACAATATTTTTATTTCAACAAACGAAATGTCGACCTCCTCCCTTGGCTCCTATAAATAAGAAAAAAAGTGCCAGGATGGCGAACCCATTTAATTAAAGGCAAATTTAATGGGTAAATATTTCATATGCTGCATATACACAAAGCGGGGGTCAGAAAAACTGTCGAAAAAAATGTTATAAAAAGTGTGTATATATTTTAATATCCTCATACAGTGCGTCCCACAAAAATTCATTTAAATACTAAAATTCTAGTTCTCTAATTATTTGATCTGTTCATTAGATCTTAAAAAAAATCATTAAAATAATAATGTTTTTGAGCTGATCAAAATGTAATGAAAAGCGACAAGCCTAGTTGTCATATACAATATTATGTACTATAAAAGAAGGGTCTAAAAAATCGGGAAGTATCTGTTGTAGTCAAAACGGCTTGAGATAAGAACCTAAAAAAATCAAATTCGGAAATAATATAATTACAAATATCATAAGTAATACGTTTATTTATATCTGTAATGGGAAATAATTAGATTTATATTAATTTTTAAAGGTTTATCAGCCAACAAGACCGTATATTTTCGAAACGCTCTTTACCTAAAGCTTAAAAAGTACACATTTTATTTTAAAATACGAAAAAACGTTTTGGTCTGTATGCGAGTAAATAGCAGCGAATTGGAGGGGAGCGGGAGGAATTTGGGCTGGGTGTATATTAAATTTCGTGTTGATACAGAACAGGAACGGAAAAAATTATGCGAAGCGTGCACTAGAAACACAAAAGAAACACGAGAACGGTTCGGGACGGGGGAGTGAAAAAAGAAATCAGAAAAATTAATAGAGTGCAAATATTTGTAGATTTTTACACGAACTATTAATGGGCAGCAAACAGAACCCGACGCAAAAACCAGTAGCCAGGATCCCGGGATTGGAGATTGCGGGTAACTCGAGATCGTATCATTTGGGATGGTATATGGGTCTATACGCCTATGCAAATAAAAGTCAGGGGAATGACTGGGCACAAAATGGCGACTCAGGAGCAGAGGACCAAATAAAAGAGAACGAGCCAAGTCAGGTCAAGATAGAATAAATTTGAATTTGAATTTTGGCCATCGATTCGAGTCGTCGGAGTCTCTCACCTGAATGAACCTGAACTTGCTGCTCCGGCTCTGCCAAAGGAAAATAACAAGATGGAAACTTTGCCAAAGAGAAAAACACAAAAAAAATGGGGGAGAAAAACAAGCTGAAAAGGACACAATACAGCCCAAAACGAGACAATTTGTCAGTCAAATTTCGGGTGACAGAAGGAGAGTGAGCTGCCAGAACATTTCACTTAACAAAAATAAAATGGTAATAAAATAATGATATAAAATATTCGATTTGATACTTTTGTAAAACAACTCAAAAAATATAAGCTAGATCTTATTTTTTGCTTGTAAATTACTAGTCTTTGGGCGAGTATTATAAAAATTGTTTCGAAGCACACTCTTCTGAGTTATTTCATGTTCTCGGGCGTGATTTAACACTTTATTGATTTACCTTCTTCATAAGTCCTGATCGACCCCTAAAAGAACTGGTCTTTTTGTATAGTTATACCTCGATTATAGTTATTCCCATTATAAACCTTTTTATAGTACTCATTTATAGTACTCATTTCATTGATATATTATTTTCTGATATTTTTCTCAGCTTTTAGAATTGATTTTTAGTTCTGATCTATAGATAACATATTTTAGGCACGGTTTCAATTCGTATCCTAACAGCTTTCTGTTGTCAGTTTTCCAAAATTATTTTGACTCTTTATCGTTGTATCTATACTTTAACATACCTACTCCATATTCTCTCTGTGCAGGGGATGATTTGAGTGGCTTGCCCATCTTGTTTTGGCACGTCCCCCGATTCGCAATGCAAGAATGAAAATGGCCAACAAATGCCGGCAGAGGACATGCAGATACATCTGCCACAGAGCGGACAAGATGCAGATGCATATAGATTTTCGTGCCCCATCCTCTATTCCCATTTCAGATCCTTTGTGCGGCCCCTGTCTGTGTGCGAATTGATTGGAGGCGAAGCCATCAAAGTGTCCATCGAAGCTGCTAACAGGCTGACCGCTGCCGCCCCATTTTCCGCCCAGTTTTCCCCCATTTTCCTGCCCCATTTCCAGTTATCCCTGGATCTCCATCTCCTATTACCTGGAGTGGCAGGTGTGAAAGCTTCTCGCCGGGTCTTCCCACTTATCATCGAAAGTTTCCCATCCATCCAGAGTTAAACAACTTTTCTTGGAATTTTTGTTTTGACTTTTGGCGAGTTTTTCGTTTTATTTTCGGTTTCAATAAGTTAGTTTTAACATTAGAATTAATCGTTTGAGGAATGACACTTAACTTTCGTCTAGTATGGTATGTGTGTTTATCTTAATTATCAAAACTCTTTTATGGAGATTTGTATTCTAGATGCAATAAACTTTGGACTTGGACACAGGACACGAAACAATTACCACAGAATGCATTCACACTTGGTTTGATACAATACATTCGCGCACATACATCTTTACATACAATTAGGTGACTGTACAGAATTTACTAAATGTAATTAGGATACTTTTCTAGTTCTTCTGGCGTTTTCTTTCCGTTTTTCAACTTATAACTTAGTAACAAAAAATGTTCAGAAATGGGTCTGTCTTCTTTTCTATTTACAAAACAAAACTTATGAGCTAAGGGCCGATATCGCAAAGTCAATTTGCTCTTTGAACTATTTAATTTAAGTACTCAGTCGTATAAACAATTTCATAAATAAATACGTTTGTTTTATCATTTAAATAATAGAAAATAATCATGTATTTTGTATTTTAAATGATTTATAAACCCCGACATGATCAACTGGCCCTAGAAATACTCCTAAAACTTATGTCTATCCTTCCATATATACACCCAGAGCCACGCCCCTTCTTAGGCCACTTCCAGATCGGAGGACTCATCGGCATCGCTATACCCATTCGGATCGCTCTTGATGTGCACTAGTTGCGCGGAATAGTGATCGGATCCGGGGCATTTGACGGACACGGAACCGTTTCCGGTGGAGCTGGTGGTGCCGCTTCCGCCGTTGGTGTTGTTGTTTCCGGTGGTGCCGTTGGTGGTGCTGCCACATTGCTCCTCCTGCAGTTTCCTCAGGCGCTCCTGCTCCTCTCGTTTTTGCTTGCGCCACTTGGCCCGACGGTTCTTGAACCACACCTGGAAAAATAGGATAAAAAACAGTCTGTTAGTAACGGAAAAATAAAAAAGGTTGTTCTGTATAACTTATTTTAAAAATTGAATCTTGAAAGTTTTCCAAAAAACGAAAACGGTTTTAAAATCAAGCATAAATGTGTCTAAAAGTAAGCAGCGCAATATTTTGAAACTGTCTCCAACCGTCGGGATCACCGCATATTAGTGAATTTAAAGTTTAATCTAAACTTTTTAAGTTGGTAATGTTTATTTTCTTGGCAATATTTACTGTATTCTTCTGATAAGGATAATAATTCAGTAGGTAGGTGGCTTGGGTGGCTACCTAGGTTACTTTTGAGCGTGGGGCTTCAAAAACACTTTCATCCGTTTTGCTCGGAAATTCGCTATTCTGCTTGGGATTTCAGCTCATAAATATTTTAAGTAATTTTTTCGACCCACTCCCCCTTTTTTGTGCCCTTCTACGGCTTCTTTTTCTCAATCTTGGCGGTTATCTTCTGGTCCGTTGCCAGGGAATGCAACCCCCACTCCCACTCACTTTCCTTCTTTTTCTGGGTTTAATGAGATGACTTATTGTAATTGTAATTAATTGAGAATTCTGAAAGGGGTGGCTAAAGAAGGAAAGAGAAAAAAGTGGTGGAAAAAAACGTACTTATAGGGTAGCAAGGTTTATGATTGGTAAGAGAAAACCCTGTTTCATGTTGTAACATTTTTTTAATGGCATGTAATGGGAAGTAATTATTTATGACATTAAGTTTATATCTAAAAATAATTGTATTAAGAAAATGGGACAAATTAAAAATGTCATGTTAATTAGACAGGTGAAGTGAGAGAGTCTGCTCTTTCTGTGCTGGATTTACCCTTTTTTCTTTTTAATTAGGCTTTGGCCACGCCCTTTGCGCTCGCCTTTTATTCCCCACCTTTAACCCCTTTCTCGGCTGTTCCCCCACCCTCCGCTACTTAGTTAATTAAAACAAAAGGCGGCTGTGAAGTGACTTAGGGGTTAAACATCATCAGGAGGTTATCTCTCTCCTTGGTGGAAGGGGAAGATGCGATGCTGAAGAGGAATAGGAATCCCTTATGTAATCACCCTTGTGGGCAGTGAACCCATCTGTCTTGTCATTAGCCCCCAAAGCTACCCCCAAAAACCCATTCTCCTTCGGAGGGCGGAGTCTTTTCTCTCTTTCTCTGCGTTCTCCCAGCGATTCTCCCTGCGATTCTCTATTTGCCCAATCCAATCCGAGTGCAATGGTGAATTTGCAACCCCTATATGTTTATTTGTCCGTCTGTTTGTTGATTATTTGCTGAATAAATACTGGGGAAAATTCGCCAGCCAGGAAAAAGTTTAATTAGAACAATTAGGCAGCGGTGGAAAAGTTGATTTTCCACAATGTTATCATTCGAGGAAAAAGTTGAGTTTTCTCTGGGGTTCGGGAAATGTTTATGCAGCAAATCGACTGAATTTGTTGAAATAACAGAGGAAGCGGAAGTGGAAAACGGGGAAATGCGCTAAACTTATAAGCAAAAGGATATATCTGCTGCTCGGGAATTCATAGTCGAGCTTATTTAAGTTTGCATTAAATTTGAGTACATTTTTGCAGCTGCTTTTCCTCTACTTATTTGCTTAGGATTTAATTTTTGAGTTTCGCCTTGGTAACCTTTGAACTTTCGCCAGTTGGCAACGCGTTTGATGTCCTCGCTAAATGTCAGTTGAAATTTCCATTTATTTTTCGCTTTCCACTCGGCCTAATTAGATTTTTGACAACTCCCTCGCTTTTCGCACACATATTGCATATTTATTTTCATAATTTTCATAATTTTATGAGCTTAAGTTATTAAAACAACAAACGCGTCGCGTTTTTCCAAATTCGCAGCCATGAATATGGGAATTACTCAGCTTAATTATGTCAACACACAAACTAAAACGATAATTACCTATGCAACAGTTTTAATCCATAAATTCTAAAACGAAAAAAATCGGTACTTTGCTGCTAGCGGTTTTTACCGCCTGATTGGGTTTTTCGCCATTTGCGGGTTATTAAAGTTTCATATTTTAATTAAATGTTAGCCAGCGAACCATATTGAACCCTAATCCGACGGAACTACAAAAACCGGAGTTTGAGAGCCGCGTGTGTGCGCCGGAAAAAACGCGCTCGCTCTGCTAATCCCGTAATTTTTACGGCCAACAGAGTTTTCCGTTCTGGGGAAATCCAAACCTCCATACGTCCCTCCCCCCTCCCCCGCCACACGTTTAAAATCTGACTAACGCACAACAATTTGGCCATAACCGCAGGCGCGTTTTTTGCCGCTTTTCGCTGGCTGGCACGCTCGCAAAAATCGCAGTGAAAATTTGGAGAAATTAAATAAACAAAGGCGCAAAAAGTGGCTGTTCAGGGGATCGGGGATCTGTGTGGTGGGCGATTTCCCATGTTGATTGATGGCTTCGACAACATGCCAACAAAATGGCGAAATTGCAGTGTTCCACTGAGACAAAAAATGTATAAGATTGGAACCCCTCCTTAATAAAAGTCAAGGGGTAGGACAATTTTTGTCTCAATATCAACCAAAACATTTTAGCATTTATCCAATAGATTTTTTCATTTTAAATTTGTCTTAGCATACTTTTCGGGGCCTTCTAAAGTGATTTCAAACCCCTAAAAATGTAAGTGGAAATCACGACAGCCTAAAACTCGAAAAATAATCAAGCCATATTTTATAGACCTTGTATGTTCCTTACATTCTAATCGCTTAGAATATTACGTTTAACACAGCTGTTATCATTAACCTTTTTGGAAACCTTATTTTTAAAAAAAGTTTAATATTTCAAATTGATCTAAATCGCAATTTATCCAAAGAGTCTTTATTTTAATGGCTTTAAGGATCTTGCAGTCATGGGTTTTTAAAAGCAAAAGCTATTCAAGAACTGTTTAAAATTTTGTCCTGTTCTTTCAGTGTAAAAGCGAAGCTGATGCATTTTTTCGTGGCAGGAAGCTCCGAACTTGACATGCATTGGCTCGCGCTTTGGAGTCGAGAGATCTGCGGAACCACTGGCCACTGCAAATATTGGCACAGATTTTTCATCCAAAAGCGCATAAATCGCTGATACCGCAGGAAAATCGAGGGGCGGTGGAAACTCCAGAGGGCAAAAAGGCCGAAGAGCGGCACACATTCGAAAACGTGCATGAAATCCATTGAACAAACATACCCACGGCAGTTGATTTTTAATTAACTACAAAAGCGCTTTACGCCCCCTTTCGTTTCCCCCCTTTTCCCCCTTGGGAAATTGGGAAATTCAGTGGGCGGGGTCTTTTTGGCAGACTGACCATCATGATGTGTGTGTTATTTTTGGGTTTTTTGACCAGTCTGCTGACTGCGTGGCTGGATTACCATGAAATGTTTCCGAAAATGCAGCACATAGTTGCACTGCTATGATAACTTTGCGCTTCGATAATCGCTGCACCTGCTCTCTCGAATTTTGCCTTCTAATTTTTCCGTGTTTTTCCAGGACCGGAAAATTGTGTCCCCGTCAAAAGCCAAAAACATTGAAAACGCCAGGCTACCAAAAAACAAAAGAGAGAAATCACATTTTCGGCTGGCTTTAGGAGAGGTTTAATAAAAATGTGGAGTAAGGGGTTAAGATGAGGGAAATGGGTGGAAAATGGTTGTGGAGCGGTGGAAAACACAAAATGGCGGCTGCCTTTTCGCCAGTCGCTCTAATTAGTGAAAATTGGCAACACAAGTCGGTCGGAAACTTCGTCACCAAAATGGGTGGAGCTCCCCTTTTCCCAGTTTCCCAATTTTCATCCAACCTTTTTTGGAAAATTGTTGACGCTGTTTCCGTCGTGTTGTTGGATTAAAATCGCGCACCCATGAAAATTGCTCGTTACGCACATTCCCATTCCCTTTTTTTTCGAGTGTATTGGGGGGGTTTAACAAGTGCATGTGCACTAATTAAAGAGCTATCCCTTTTAAATGTACATTTTTATATAGAATCGGTACTCTAGAATGTCGTTCTGTTTGAAAATTATCTGGTAGTAAAAAGGATTCTATAAACCATAAGTTATTGAAATTGAGTGAGTGAAGCTCATCTTTCAAGTTTTGTTGAAATACGGATTATAAATATAAGGGAATATTTCTATACAATTTTCTTGAAAACAAAAAAAACGATGTTCATATTTCGTCAGTCACTTAGACCCGATGAAAACCCATCAAAATTAAGGAATTTTGGCCCTCAAAAAGGTATTTAAATGGTCTTTTCTATTAACTTTTTTTTTTAGCTAATCGTTGACACGGACGACCTTTTAAGGGCTTAGTGATGAGTGCACCTGTCCTCCCACCTTTCTACCACCCACTGCGTTTTTTGTGTAAATTTATGCAGCTTCGAGGCAATTTTCTCCCCCAGCGATAATATTTGTCTACGGTTACACGCTTCAACAGCCAAAACTGTAAAGCAAACATGGGAAAAGCGTCTGTCCCCCGTCGGAAAAGGAAAAGTCCTTTTCCCCCTTCCATTTTCCAACGCTCGAGGTTATAAACGCACTTTGCTGCCCGAAAATTCTCCGGGGGATAACTGAGAATTCGCTTCCTCGAAACTCAAGTGTTTGAATAATGGAAAATTATGAAAAATTATAACAACAGCATTTACCGGAAAAATGGGGGGTGTGAGATTTGTGGGTTGTTGAGTGGCTCACCCAGTGGGTGGTGGGTTGTGGGTGGTTTGGGACCTCGGGTAAAATTAACGGAAATCTGCTGATTCCAGCTCATTGCCGTTTTTAATTCAATTTCGAGGCTAAACAAACATCGGGGAGGAGGTGTGTTTATTGTGTCTAAGGAGAGACAACAATAATAATAATAATACAGAAGCAATATTTTAGTTAATTGCCAACGCAGGTGGCCCCGGAACAGAAAGTGCCGATCCCGAACCCCTTTTCAAGACGAGACCTCTCAATTGTGCAACTTCAAAGCGGCAACGCTTGAGTTATATGGGATGATCCTTGAAAGAAAGGCATACTATAGTATCAGTAGGGTGACAAGCCCTTTTCAAGTCCTGGCCAAAACAAAACGACAAAGTAGGAGAAAACAGCAGACACAACAGAGATCAGTCTACAATGGAGTGACGAGGATGATGATGAGTGGGCACATTCTTCGCCGTTCTCCACATCCACTCTCTCTATAAGTCTGAGAAGGGGTAACATCAATATTTATAGAGTTGAGCGATCGAACGGAGAGAGGAGCACAAATTATGCCAAGCTGATGATTACTAATTTCTTGGCGACGACCGAAGACAAATATTTGAAATGCCCTCCAGGCATTCCTCCCATATATATACATATGTCCCTCTCTATCTGGCTGATCGGAGAACCAAATCGCCTCGATCACTTGAGCTGCGGGATTAGGCGTATTTGACTTGCACGCACCAAAGAAGGCAAGGCGAAAAAAGAGAGGCAGACGGACAAAGAGAACGAGTTTGTTTGCTCTACAGGTAGGGCTACTGTTTTACGATCCAATCCCATCCAAACCAATCCAATCCGATCCGAAACCACCCGACTGTCGAGTGTCTAAATAAAAATAATAATTGTAAATGATGAAGTCAAAATAAGCAGATCATTTAAATGCCGAACGAGGTTTGGCTGGGAACTGAATAATTACAATAAGTTCGTTAGGAAACCTATGAGAACCAAGCATTGTGAAAAGATATAGCTAGCATTTTTGGTATGCGAAGATCTTACCTATAACCTAGTCAGAATAAGGGATTTATTGTCTAACTTTCTGTGAGGGTTTGTTAATAACTTAAAAGTTCCTTGATCATATGCGTTATATCTTTAAGACATTAAAGATTAAATTAGTACTAATCAATTTTTATTGGGGATACTCTACCATTGATAAAGACTACAAATAAAATGTGTTACCTAATAGATCACCAATTGCACGGACTCTTCTCCGCTAGAGTAACCATTGTGTAGGCTTCGATTTTGTTCATTTTTTCCCTTCTGTTTTCTCTTTTGTTATTGCTGCTGTTTGTCTTAGGCAAGATTTTCAATAATTATTGCCACTTATGGTCCGACTGGGGTCTTAGAGCGACTGTCCCGGAATCGCGGGGCTCGGGGGGCCTCGAGTGGCAGCTCTCGGCATGCAAATATGCTAAACAGTAGCAGTCACAAAAGCCGAGGTTCCAAGTTGGAAGCCAGAGCTGAAGTTGATTATGCTGCTTAAGTCAATGACGAGCGATGACTGAGCACAAGATTTACTGGGGTTTTGGGGTTTGGGGATTGGGGATTGCTGCCATCTCTTTCTTCATCCACTTTGCTTGTCAGAGACAAGTTTGAAGTCTCTTTTTGTGTGTTGTATGTTAATTAGTCGCCCCCATGAGGCAGCAGATTCGAATCCCCTGATTTCCAATTAGTTGAAAAGTTGGGAAATCATTTCCTCACCTCAGTCTTTTTTCAAATTTACTGCAGAACGTGCAACCTGCTCCGTAATCCGCTTAGGATTCCAATGTTGGCCGCGGGTTGAATTTGTCGCCTAATCAAAAAGCGGGCGTCAATTCGCCTGCGGGTTAAGTAACGCCACGCCTCTCATTATCCTAAATGGTTAGTAATGTTAATGTGTAAGTTGTCTTAAGCTGAAGGCCAAACATAAGCCCACACCCCTTCACCCCGCCGAGTGTCAACAAATGTCGCACTTGTCCGCCTTCCTGCGTTCCAAAAGGTGAGGGTGATTTGGGGTTGGATGGGTTAGATTAAACATTCGACCGGTTGACAAACACATATTGCCAGGGAAACGAAAACTAAGGGGTTCCGGAACCCGGAAAGCGTTGCTAATCCTTATCAAAGACGCGAGATAGCCACCCATCAATATGAACAAATTAAATTGTCAACTTTCGTCGTCACTTTCTTCCTTGGTGACCTCTCAATTTGTTTGTTTGTTGTCGGGTTTCCTCGACACTAATGGACTTTGAATCACAATTGCCGATGTGCCGATGCCGAAGGGATGGTTTATATTATCCCTCTGGTCGCCCGGGGTGGGACTTACAAGGGCATCCCAGCATATTTACATTAGCAATGATACGATTCAGGGACAACCACCGAGCAAATAACCATCGCCATCCGTTTAAACATGCGGTTGTATCCCAAGTCCCATTACCCAAATTAAGTGAATCATTGGGATTGGCATTGTTTTGCTTTCGCCGGCGGAGAAGCCCCGCAAAATGTACGCCGCTGACAACTAAATAAACAAGGAGAATTTCTCAGGGGGAGATTGCGATGCAGATGCCAGAGATTCAGATTCAGAATCAGATTCGGAATCTGATTCATAATGGTTAAGTGGAAGAGAGCGGGGGTGTAGCACTCAATTGGTTTCACGCGGGGAATTAAAACGAGCGTGAAATTAGAGCCAAATAGAAGAAAAGGTTGTGGGTCAAGGAGAAAGGGAGGTTACTACGAGGGAAACAATGATTTTTGAGAATCTCGTATTCAAAGTGAAAAATGCTGGCATTATAATGTTATTATGAAATCACTCATAGAGGTGACTAAAAGTATTCACTAAAAACCTATCCGACGTTTGGTATGAAAATATATAATTGTTGCATACTTTGAGACACCTTTGCAAGAGATATCAAGACCCCATTAAGAGTTTGAGATTTGGTTATAACTCACCTCAACTCTTTCCTCCTTCAGATCCACTTTGAGGGCCAGCTGCTCCCTGAGCACCACATCCGGGTAGTGGGTCTTGTCGAAGGTGGCCTCCAGTTGCTCCAGCTGCTCCTCCGTGAAGATGGTGCGATGGCGACGCTTCCTCTTCGGTGGCGGTCCATGGCCCAGGTGGCCCAGGTGGTGCTGCCCGTGGCCGTGGTGGTGGGCGCCCAGGTGTGGGTGGTGCGGATGTCCGTGGGGGTGGTGCGGGTGGTGCCCGTGACCCGCCAATCCGGCGGCTGCTCCACTCACATGCGCCTGCATCTGAGCAGCGGCCACATGTGCCACCGCAGCCGCGTGCATGTAGTTTGGATAAAAGTTGGGGTACGCCACTGTGTAGGGAAAACAAGAGGAAAATTCATTATTCGCTGGCTGTAATAACAGTCATATCATCATCATATAAGCGCTGGAAGGAGGGACGGCGAGGGGTAGAAGGAATATTCCTGGGTAAATCCTTAAAAATGCGCATAACGAAACGCGGAAAATAAAACGGCCGCCATGTTGGCTGTACAGCAGACGCGAAATAAGTAGCAGTGCAAAAATTAAAGTAGGGGTTGCCACAGAAATTACTGGGGCTTTAAAATTACATATAATTGTGTTTAAATTCTTTTAGAATGAATTCGTTGGATTTATGTACTTAAAAGATGTTGTGGCATACCTTTCGACACCTTTTTAAATGATATCATAGCCCCTTGTGATTTTCGTCTTTGTAGGAATATAAATACTTCTAAATTACTTTGATAAATTATATAAAGGATATCCGAAAGCTGAATCTATTATTTTGCCCCCAGTTGTGAACGTATGTGAGGCTTCCATTTCCGTTTCCGGTTGCAGCAAGCTGGGCCAAAAAAGTTGCGCCCAGGTTTTTAATATTCATGTCCTGCGGGGGAGCCTTTGAATGAATTTAAGCGGGATTCTGCATAAATCTCCGCCGGAGATCCACGCTCGAATCAACACAAGACCCGAGCCCATCTTAAAGCCACCCCCAGACCCAGGTTTTCCCGGGCTTTCCAGCCGAATCTGAGACTTAGATCCCAATGCAAATCCTCTCACCGCAAAATCACAAGGGAAATGGAAGGCAAATGCGGAATCATCTTTCACGGATCATTGCCTAATTATGAATAATGCCATTCAGGATTCGCCAGGGAATGAGAGCGGTTCGGTTCAGTGGTTGAGGATGAGGATGTCAGGATGAGAGTGGGTGAATGGGTGATTGGGTGATTGCTGACTGCATGAGTGGGTTCCGTCAAGGTGTTTTCACAGTTAAAGTTCGAAGGGAAGTCGTATACTCGTTAAAATATTTTAGATCGTTTTAAGGGGTCGGAGAAAACAAGAAACTCAAAAATATTGATGGACTATCAGGCAGTTTAAGAAGGATGCCGTTAAGGCTTTAAAAACGTATTTTTCAAATTTAAACTATAGTTGCTATTGTAAAAGTGATAAATGACGGAGAGCTGGGATCTCTTATCTCATAAAAGATTTATATTTTAGATAAGGCATTAATTGGCGGAGGTTTTATTCTGTTTTATTTCTTACCTAAAAAGTCAGAGGGAGAGGCGGCGAAACCGCTCGCCGCCGCTGCCGCCAGGTGACCCAGGTGCAGGCCAGGATGCTGCAGCATGGCAGGAACCCTCTGCGGTCGGATGGGACTAGCGGCTGCGCTGGAGCTGGAGTTTGAGTTGGGCGAGGCGGGGGACTCGGCGCCGCTCCTCTTAAGTCCCAAACTGATGCCGTTCGGGGTCAGTCCATTCTGGTTGCCATTGCTGCCGATGTGGTTTCCCTGGCTGGCGGCAGATCCTCCGCCCTGTTGTCTGGAGCCCAGAATGCTGTCGATGGTGAATAGGGATGCGGCTGCGGCTCCTCCTCGCCTGTCCTCCTCCAGAATGGTGACTCCCGACTGGCTGCCATCATCGGAGGAGGGCGTTTGACTCTGCGACTGGGCATGCTGGGCGTGCTGCTGCTGGAGCACCGATTGCAGTCGCTGGCCCAGGTAGCCGCATTGCTGGGAGTTCAGGAGCATGGCGGTGGTCAGGTGATAGGCGGCTGAGTTGCCCGGCGACCGCGAGATCTGCCTGGGTGGCTGCTGCTGCTCGCCGAGATCGCTGGGCGATCTCTTGAGCGTGTAACCCGCCGGCGGGGAGTTGGTCTCGACCATTTGAGCCAACATGGAGCCTGCAGGCGGTGGCGTGGGCGGCGGGGAGGGGCTGGGCGTGCTCACAACGGTGATCTTGAACTTGGCCTTCGCCGAGGTCGGAATGTCGGGCGTGGTGCTGGGAGTGGTGGTGGTGCCTCCACCGCCTCCTCCTCCAGGGGTCCACAGTGAGGAGAGAATTTTGAAGGAGTCTCTGTAACTTTCAAGCAGGAAAAATGCTTTTTTCTCACTTGTTTGTTGTTGCACAAAACGTTTATAAAACTATTTTTAATATAGAAAAATCCACTAAGTTATTTTTTGGGGAGTCTATTAGGCCTTTCCTCACTGACTTGCACAATACGTGGTAAAACCCTATTTAATTAAGTTAAAATTCATTAATCCGCACTTGGAACACGCACTTAAATCGCGTCGTGATTTTTGAGATTTTTCCACAGGTTCTTCAGCCACCGGGAAACCCTTCTTGTCCGCTCGAGCTGCGAAACTGTTGTGAGAGCGTGCCGCCCGACAAGTTGTCGATTGAGTAGTCGTCAGGCCAGTTCCTCTACAGATATAGATACAGACTCTCAGATACAGATATACTCTCTCTCTTAGCGGACATTTTTGCGATTCAGCCAATGAAATCGGGCTGAAGCCACGCCCTCAAGGCTACCATATTGTTTGGTAATGCTCTCTGGCTTTGGACGTCTCTCTCTATAAACCTCCCTCCCTTTCTTTCTATCGCTCTATAGCTCTTTCTCTCGCTCCTGTTGGTGGCTAGGTGGTTGAAGGTGTCGGTGTCCCCATCTCGCAGTTCTCCAGCTTAAAGGTTGCCAGGAGGTCTTGGATAAAGATGGCGCTACGGAGATAAGGTCCCCTTCACAAAACCCCACCTTTCACCCCAATTCACATATATTTTTTTCGTATTTTTTCCGCTCTTTACTTACTTTTTTTGGACCACTGACAGTTATTTATACAGATAAAGTCATCACTGACAGACCCCGCGGCCCCCAGCAGAAAGAAATAGTTGACGAGGGTGCGAAAGAGAAGGGAAGATGGTGCGCAAGAGACGGCTTACAGCAGCTCTCTCTCTCTTTCCCCAGAGTAAGTAGTAAGTAGTATGGGGTAGCATAAAAATGTTGATGAAAATTATGGGTGGCAAAAAGCCTGACGCTCTCTTTCCGCTTTTAGGGGATTCGGATTCTCCGCTGCCTCTGCCGACGCTATATCTTAAGAAGATAATGACTAAATTAATGCTTTTATGTTTCTGGCAACACATAAACATCATTATGCGCTCAATCTGCCCACGGAGATGCGCTTCCTTCTCCAGCTTTATCTTTATCCCGTTCTTCCTTCTGGAGGTTAAGGGCTATATACGTAGGTATTTCACTGAAGAGTAGAGGCAGCATATATACATGGCGCACTCTTCCAATAATCTACATCACTTTGGCGACCGTCATCGCTATTGTTCCACATCGTATGTGCATATGAAAATATTTTAATCTAAAGTTTCCACATCAAACATGCCCAAGTGCAAAATCCCCAATGGCCCCTGGGGTTGAACTCGTGCCCTTCCCCCTTCTCAAATGCAGGAAAACAAAAGCTAAGCTACGACTAATGATAAATGCAACTCTGGCAGGCCACACACCCACACAAACACAAATGGAAAGCCAGTCAGGAAAAGCGAATGAAGCGAAAAGTCCTTACAATGTCACCTATGTGGGGGTTCAAAAGTGGGGTCACTCGGAAAAATATTTAACAAGGTGAAAACCCTTTTAAATCGTATAACGGAGCGACTATTAAAACTACAACTGTAAACTAGAGACAGAAAATTGAAACGTACTTGTCTTCAAATTTGTTTTCTACTGTATTTATTTTGTATTTTTATAAATATTCTTCCTTAAGTAACTTACTTGGATTTTTAAAAATAGTAATCGCTTTGAAAAATAATAATTAGTTTGTTATATGACTTAAAACTTGAAGCTGTTCTTCTCTGTTCGTCAAGTGAGACTCATCAGCTGCCGGAGAGGACTGTTGTTAATGCCATTCACGTAACGTAATGCATTTCGCTCAGTGTAATATGAGGGGAAGGGAGGTCCTGAGAGGGAAGCTTACATAAATGCAGATATTTGAGTGTGTGCCGGGGTATATGTGTTCAACTGATTACGGGGGAAAGGAAGAAGAGGAGCGGTCCTGTCACATGTTGCAAAAGGATGAAAGGATGACGGCTGATGACGTCGAATGTGGCCAAATGCTTTTAGAAATTATTGAATAATTAAGCAGGCCAAGGACCGAAGGACCAAAGGGCCAGGATTCTTCCACCTTCTCCTGCTCCCCGAATCTCGGTGGATTCTCCGTCCCACTTTTCTCGGGGGTTTCGCTATTTGCCTTTGCACTGAACTTCTTACATGGCCAAAAACTCCCGACGGGAAAACCGATGATGATGATGGTGTAAAAATAGAGGAAATTTTGAGTCGAGAAAGGCAAGTAGAAGAGGTAGAGAAAGCTAAGCTCAAAAGTTGGGCTGCACTTTTCCTATTATTTTTCCTGGCTTTTTTCAAATGGAACTTTTTGATATTTTTCTTATTCTTTCCCCCCTAACTCTGACCTCTGCCCTGATTTTTCCCCACTCGCTGCGCACTTTTGTTTTAGTTCGCAGATTGAATTTTAAATAAAAAATTAAATTAACTCGTCTAAGTATTGTATTTGGTTTTGTGCCACTACCCCTTCGATTGGCTGTGCGAAAAAGTTCAATTGGCAGAGGACTAAGCAAACATTGTGGAATAAAAGGTTTTTCTACTTTTCCATTTGAGCGATGTGGAAAAAAAAGCGAAGGGAAAACGTGGGGAAAAATCATCATCTTCTTCGAACTTTTTCTTGGCTCGCTCCCGCTGATGATGATTTTATTTCGATTTTCTGTTGCCATTTCTCTGTCGACGCCCACGGCTACATTTTCCAGTTGTGCAAAATTAGAAAAGTTTTCCTCGCTCTCTCTTTCTACTTCTGTCCCTCTCTCCCTCTCTATGATTGTTTCCCAGAAGCGGAAAAACCGAAGGAAAAGAAGGAAAATGGGGGTGTGAGGGAGGGTGCCGTGTGCTTTGCGTATTTGTCTTGTTAAAAATTTAAGCGAATTTCCTCGAGAAGCCAAATCGAAATCAGCAGCAGAATCCGCACCAGAATCGGAATCAGATTCTTCGGATTCAGCAGCTAAATCTAAATCCCGTGCTGAGGATTTGCCATTGCGGCTGAGTCGCCTGCTGCCGACATTGATATGGTAATGAAGCCTCGACATCGGAATCGGGCTCTAATCCCCGCCAGCAGCAGCAACCCCCTGTGATATCTCTATACATGGCCACACCGGTTTTGCTCAGCAGTCAATTAAATGTTTAATCCAAATATCGTTTTATACGTCGCACAGTCGATCCGGTCGGGGTTTTTCAGGCTGATCCCAGAGATACACCAGAAAAAATAGTCTATAAATGTCCATTAATCAGAGAAAGTAGAATATTATAAAGTTCTCAACTTGTGTACAGCCATGTTCATAAAAAATATCAAGAGCAAGTGGATATTACCGGTTAACATGATGTTAAATAGATACTGGGAAATGATATGTCTTCTACTTGTTCTCGATTTAAAAAACTCTGTAATTGAAAAAGAAAAAAATAAAGAAATAAAATAGTAAGAGCCCTTTTCAGTGTAGAAAATGGAAGCAATTTCTGGCGATGGCAGTCGCATCAAGGGATCAGTCAGCTCAGGGATCAGGGATAAGTTTAATCTTGCGATATGCGTAAGCGTGCAAATTGCATCGATTACGCATGGCAAGAAACAGAAAGAGACGGCAGATCGGATCAGAAAGAGAGGGATGTCTGCAGACAAAAGGTGCAATAAAACCGAAAATAGTTCGGATGAATGGGATGCGATGGAGGGAATGATTCGGGGCGTGAGGCAAACCAAAATGGTCGACAAATGGATCGCTTGATCAAGCGGGAAAGAGATGGAAGATAAGGCTGAAAGAGACGGAGATACAGCCATCAGGAGCAGCTGCTTTTTTCACATCCCAAGGATCTGTGTTTTGGGTTCGTATTTGCGTAAACAAGGCCACACTTTGGTCAGGGCTGTTTGATATTGGGCTATCTGAGGGATTCCGGGCTTGTTTGATTTGCTTTGGGAAGATATTTCTGGATAATGCCTCAATTCAGGGCTCCAGTGAATAGGGCAATATAATAAACCCAAGTGAGAAATCAATTGACAGATAACCTCCAAACAAATTTTGGTTTAAAGCCTCGGGTAATTTAGTTGTTCAGGATGGCTAATGGTTTAATTAATTGGGATTTGAATATTTGTCCGGAAACAAATGTATATAAAATGTAATTTTATCTTGATTTTTAAACATTTTATTGATTTTTAAATCTAAATTAATGGTTAATTTAAATAAGAAGTTTAAGATGTTCATATATGCCAAAATATTTCAAATACAAATTCGAGTTATTTAAAAATATTTTTCTCTAATAAAATTGTTCCATACCCTTTCTCAAAACAATGTTAAATTCAAAACAACTCTCCCATCTACTCTGCTTTTGGGCTGTCATAATTGCTCGTGTTGATTTGATGCGTAATTAAAAATTTAAATTATGTGACCCGAGGATATTTTGTGGGCGTGTGTGGGTGGAAAAAATGTGGAAAAGGGGCGAGAATGGCCAGTCAAATATTTGTCAAGTGGAAATGGCAGGGAAATATCCTGAACGAAGGACTTAAAAAGGGAGCCTCATAAAAGGCAATCCCATTTGCATGAACTTTTACTCTTTGCCGAAAATTACTTCAACTCAATTAATTAGCCGAGTTTTCTTTGCTTGGTAAGACCATTCACCACTTTCTCACTGTTTTTGTGACCCTTTGAGCCTGCTGTTTGCCCTAACTCTTTCTTGGCAAATCTCGCAAATCATGGTACTGCGATTCATCTACTTCTCATACTCTTGCTGATATTTCAGATGTTTCTGGTCCGGTTCGACGTATCCGTCACCTCAGACAAAGCCAAACAAATTGGCAAGCAAACAAATCGCGGAAGAGAAATAGAACCAAACAAACCTAAGCATTGTAAAGGTGGTAAAGGGTAAGAAGAAATATAGGCCCCAGGTTTTGGAGGACACTGAAATAACAATTTCCAAAGCATGTACAATGTACAACAAAATACGATAAAAATATGTTGATGAAAAATACTTCTAAATGTATTGAGTTTCAAGTATTAAAAGTTAATAGAACATATTTTGAAATATTTATTTGGCATCTGAAGGTTTGATTATAAATACTTGGTTTATGCACTTTTCAATTAATCTAGTAAGTTAATGAAAAATATATTCAGTTATAATTTTGGAACCAAAAAATTGAATAATTACCATTTGGTATAGGACTTAAAATTCCTGATTAAAAGCAAGCATGTTTCGTTTCATTGCTTTGTATTTTATTGTATATATTTTTGGCCAGTGTAAGAACAGCTCTTCCTCTGGAGGCTCTTTTTTGGCTGCGTGTGTGGCGTGTTTGTTTTTCTCCGTGTTGCCCCGGCCTGTCGTCTTCTCTCGTCTCATTCCCTATTTCCTTGTTATCCCCGTGTTCTCTGGGTATTTGCCATGTTGTCTCGAGTATAAAAAACTAGGCAAAACAAAACTGCTATCCAGAGGACCAGGTCCTGTTTTTGAGGTCCTGTTCTGGGCTCCTAACCATTTGGCTGATCGTTTTCCCGGTCGCCTTTCAATTGACCGTTGCAAATCGCAACAAAGATCAGCCGGGATAAGCCCCGTTGTATGGCAAACAGAGAGGAGGAGGAGGAGGCTTTCCCCCTCCATTTTCCACTTTCCTGCTCATTTTTTGTTTCGCTTTTTGTCCTTTCTCCATCACACGCCCCGCAGAAGAAAGAAAGAAATGCTCTCTCCGCCATACTGTTCTCATTTTGTTCGCCCTTTGTTTTTGCGGCGATTGGTGATGCGCATTTGATTGCTACGATCCTGGGATTTCGGTATATCCCTCGATTTCCCCCGAACCTGTGTTATCCCTCTGTTCGTGCTTAAGTCCTTGGAAAATCGTTTTTTGCGCCTTTTCCATTTCCTGGCCGACTAATTGCGAGAGAAATCTGCTAAGACCTCCGGACCAGCACTAGCTTGAGATTCAGATTGAGATTGAGATTGAGATTTAGATTGATTTCAGCAGCAGCAAAAGGACCGCTGCATCTGAATAAAAAGGGTGTGAAGTGGAGGACCACTTGAAAAATCTCGTTATCCTGTCAGCAGCAGGACTCCCTTGCTCCTTTGGCTGGGAAAACTGCCAGTCATTTATGAGTATCGCTTGGGCTTGGGAAATGTGGGGGAGTTGCGATGGATGCCAAGTGCTTCGGCAGCTGTCCTTTTGCCTCCAGCTCGCATATCGCTTACAGTCCAAAAGCAGATGACGGAAAGCAGACAACATTTCCGATTCTGATTCCGGTGCTGATTCTGTCACCCTCGTTCACTTGGAAAAAAGGGTCTTAAAACGACTATTTTAGCTGAAAATTAACAACTTGCTAAAATAAAAATATAATTACAAAAACTATTTATCCATAACAAAGGTTAGCAATCAAAATAAACCTGATTTAAAGAGGTTAAATCACTTACACCTTGAAAAATAATGTCTTTTTTAGGTTTTATTTAAGAATAATTTCTGGTTCTTCCGTATCATTTTTTAACACTTACATGAACGGTGATTAGTTATGATTAGTTATAAAAAACCTTAAGCAGATAAAAGCACTAAAATAAAATAACAAAAAAACGTTTTACTAAAATGAGAAGAGGTGTATTGTGTATACAAAGCTCCAACAAAAAAGAATAATCACTGTAATAAACAATATAAAAATAATATATCATGTTAAAAAAAAAAAAGGTTTTCCTATCGCTTCCACGTTTGCCCGAGTGCAAATGAATGAAAGAGCAGCGGTTCGTTCATTTGTCCTTTTTACTTATTTTCCGCCTACGACAACACCATCCGAAGGAAAATGACAGAGCAAGGAGCAGCAGAAGGATCAGGAGCAGGCAGCTCTTTTGTTGGGCTTAGCACTAGTCCTGGCAGTCTTTTCAATTTCATCCTGCGAGAAAGCACAAAGCCCGAACCACTCAAAACGCCTCGACGGGACTCAATTGTTTTCGCGATCAATTTGCAACTTAATTGAAATCCATTTAAAGTAATGAGAGTTACTAACTTGTCCTGCCCCGACCCAAAATCCTTTCGCTACCCTCCGCGTTCCATTGTTTTCGCTACCCTTTTCGGTGGCCGCAGGCTTTATTTTGATCCCATGCTCAAGAATTATAATCCCACGCACCACAGAAGTGACCGAGATGCAGATACCTGTGGAGAATTCCTCCCATCTTCCGATTGTTCCGATAGTCCTGATTGTCCTCTTGTCCTGAGGCCACAGATCTATTTGCGAGCCGTGCAAATGCAAATTGTCCCTAATGTAGCCCAAGTAAGTAGCAATCGCCCGGCTCCCCGCGGCGAGGATTCTCGTTGAGATTTTCGAGTGGCCGAATGGGAACTGGTTCCAAAATGGCAAAATTTACCATATACATTTTTATAAAAAAATTAACATTTTATTTTACATAAATTGTTTACAGAAACATTTTGGGTATTACTTAAATATCTCAAATATTAATATTGAAAAGTAAATTATTATAGACGATTTTTAAGTTGTATATTGACCAAATCATCCTTAAAAGGTTTCCATCTTTCAATAAATTGTTATAAGTGGTTTTGTAGTCTTTTGTAGAAAGAAAATATCTTGAAATATCTAACTAGTTCCCTAGCTATCAACACACATAAGAACCACTCGAATTAAATTTTTTTTTAAAACGGTGCGCGCAAAAAATATGCAAAATAAATGCGGGCAAAAAAGTCGCTGGCCAAGTCCATTAAAAGGGAATAAGTGCGTGCAAATCCTGGCCGCAGGATGTTTTTCATATTATCAGAACGCATATTACTTCATCGGAAATGAAGAGCTTTCGTTGCCCCCGCAAAATGCCAAAGTAAACATGTGTGAAGTGCTTTGAAAAAAGGGAGGGATGATGGCCCTGATATCCATATCCATAGCCATATCCATAACCATAACCACGCGCCTTTTTTCGTTACACTAAAACCGCAATACAAACACACCCACTTAAGAGTCGGGAAGGAAGGAGAGGTACGGGATATATATAGAATAGGATGGATGTGGATGCACCACATTCCAGTTGATCCCCTTGTAAATCTCTAAATTGTTTTATGAACATATTGGCCGGGAAGGTGTAAACCTAATTTTCCCTTATGAACCCACGGGGCAGGTAAAGTGGAAGTGCATCCATACATCCCCGGACTTTTTGTTCCGGCTCAGCAGGATGCACTCTATATCGTCTATATCAATGTGGCCTTTGTTTGGCCGCCTCATTTAAATCGTACCGCTGGCCAATTTGCATTCGCACTACAGCCAAATTGATCCGCCCTAATCCCAGTTTCAGTTTCTGTGCCGAACTCCTTCGACCGAGATCTATAAGCGCGGGATTTGAATTTGCAAGAAAAACAAAACTCCTCTGCCTTTTCCTCTGGCTTTAGGCTTTAACCTTACCCTCGGCTTGGCTCTATTTCTGGCTGGGATTGGCGTGGATCTGGATTTTGACCCGATCCGGCTTGGCTTCTGCTTCTGCTCCGGCCTTAACTTTGCGCTTGCCCTTTGCCGGAAAGGTTTGACCAAAAATTTGAAAGTCAGTCGGTTGGTTGGCCGAAACGGGACGCGAGGGACCATAAGAAATACAAAGTATTTATAGGTCAGCGTGTACGGTGGACAGACTAATTTGATTTCAGTAAGATAAATGAAAAATTGTAATAAAGCTGTTTTATTGAAAAAAAATATAGTTTATAGTATAGTAGATTCGTGTTTTTTCTTGAGTCTATTATTATTTTTTTTAAATCTTTTTTTTTCTATTATACTTTTTTGTCCTTCTCTGTTCTGTCACTTATGTAAAAAAAAAAAACATTCATTGTTTTTGAATTAAGGCGCCATGTGTTCTTCCTCTTCCATGGATATGAGGCATAATTTTCCTGAGCTGGTAACACCAACATCGTCTTTCTCTTTGACCCCCATTCTGCATAGCAACAACCCCTCACCACTTTCTTCACAACTCCTTTCCCCTTAAGATGAGACAGCATTTTTTTTACTTCTTTTTTGACACCTAGGTGGCGCCAAAACGCAGTCTACATGGGCGCCATCTTTCGTTGTCAGTTGCTGACCTTATAATGTAGACGGCGTGTTCATATATAGCCCTCTGCATTTCATTTCTGGCAACCTTTTAAGCGCCATCTGTGCCTCGCTTACATTCCCATCTTTATGGCAGCGCTACCTCACACCGATAGTCGTATTAATTTCGTTTAAATTAAACGGAATTAGTTAATAATAATTATAAAATAGAAAAACAAATAATATTTTAGGAAAAATTTAGATTTTTCCACTCTTTGCTACATCTGTTTTTCGTGAAATGGTCACTCGATTTTTATTTACTTTTACATAAGTTGGCAGCACTTGATTATTTTTGTTGTTTTTGCTGGGACGTAAACAAAAGTTGATCGAATATTTATATTTGATCCCAAGATCAGATCGGTTAGACAAATGTTCAAATAACAAAGAAGCTAATGCAGAACGGGAAATCGGATGATATGGCCAGGAAAAGGACGAGGAAACGGAGCAAGCAGCGCAAAAGAAGAAGGAGAAGCAACGGGAAGCCCAGGCCCCACAACACTCAAGATCGGGATCCGTGGACCAATGTAGCTCAAAGTATTAATTATCAACACAAATTAATATATCTTGATAACACCATTGTACACCCCCACTATAGTATACCAAAGTCTATTCGAATGGCACCACAATCATGTTATGAGCCTCTGCTCTAAGGAAGATCCAAATCCGGATCAGGACCACGAGGATGTTCCCAAGGAAACTGGATCGTCGCCATGTCTTGACTATGTCTATGAGAGTTCCTCGGAGGAAGAGGAAATCGAACCCGTTGACGAAGAGTATCTCAAGTTCCTGGAAGTGACCATCAAGCATCAGCAGGAACTGAGGGACCGAAGAGCTGCCCAAACCACCGACTATTTAGATAAGGAGTAGAATAACCTCTGTGCTCAGATCGATGATGACCGTCAGTCGATCTTCTATCTGCCTCAGAAATCAGACAAAGCCTCCAATATATACAAATACTTAGGACTTTTGAGTGGAGGAATTTGGCGATAGAGAAGTTTGACTTTTTATTACACTTTTTCAAAATGTTTAATGGCATAATATTGACTAAGGAAACGTATGGTATCATAAGCTAAAAGATTCAGTTAGTATTTAATTTTTTATATTTGTATACTTTTAACTTTTGTAAATATGGAAATATTATTACCCTACAAGTTACACAATAAATTAACCCCCCATTTAGGATCACTTCTTTATAATGTAAAATATTCGCTTAAAATGTATGAGATGAGTAAGAATAATTTGTAAGCTAACAATGCCTTCTTTCTCCTAAGAGAAAGCCCGAAGGAGAGAACCAAATTTTGCGTAGGACGAGAAAGCAACTGTACTTTGTTCCCGGAACTCCAGCTTGTCTCCGATATTCTGTTATTCCCACATGGTTCTCCACTAATGAAGTTGTGCGAGGACTGGACTTTTTTGGCCAAGGGAGACGCACATTAACCCGACCAAGACTAATGCGATGTCATTTGTAATCGCGCAGGGAGAACCAGAAGAAAGCTTCAAATTGGGGCATGACTAAAAGGGAACTGTAGGGGGGAGGACATTTTGTGGGTCAGAGACAATGTCTGCTTTTTGTGTGGGCGTGGCATGCTGGGCATTAGCCAACATTTTTCGGCACTTTTCAGCAGAAAACCTAATTAAGACGTCCGACTCTGAGTGGCAATGGATTCCGTTGGCTTACTATCCACCCCTCCGTCCCCCGCTCTCCTTCCAAGCTCCTCCTCCCTCGGAGCTCTTTGCCCACCTCCTCCTTCTGATCCTCCGCTGAAATCACGACTGGCGACGACAACTGCGAACGACCTTTCTAATGCCCGGCCACTGCATAAATCATGGCCCAAATGGCGGCCACCTGCAACCGGCAGCAATAGCAGTAAGCCAACTGCAACTGCCAGTGTGCACTGGAAAGAATTGTAGTTCATAAGAGGGATATATTTATAAGAATCCCAAATACTGTTGCCGAAAGTCGGCTAAAAACCAAGATGGAAATACTCTTCATTCTTTAATTTTATTGCTTAATATTGAAAAAATTTAAGTATATATTCTGTCTGCCTTACTTATTTCTTTACTTTTAAATTATAACAAATTTTTTTGAGTGTATCTAATAAGGCTGTGCCCGCAACGGGAACGGAAACTCCAACTAAAACTTAGGATAAAACTAAAAACTGGGATGGGAACTGGGGAATCACAGTTGGACATTCACCAAACGGGAGCGATAAAAGTTTAGTCAAATCGAAATTGAGATTTCAATAGAAAGTTTGGCTCCACCCACCGAGGAGACGAGCAATAACACGACAATAAAATCGAATAGAACAATAAAATCGTTTCTAAGGAGATTAGCCGGATAAAATAAATACCCATGCACATTCTAAAAAAAATATATCTTGAACATAACATAAAGTTTTTATATTTTTAACGAACTTGTATGTAGTTTTCTAGCAGAGATATCTAGTCATCTTCTATGGTCTGTTATCATTAAAATATTATTGAATCAATAATATAAATATTGAAAATTAAATTCTAATGTTTTTAGTATTCTTGTATATTAACGGTAAAGAACGAGCTTCTAAATTCATCCCATCTGATTTTGATTAAGGGAGTTTATAAGAGTTCCTAATATAAGTTCGATACAATAGAACCGAAGCCCGAGGAGCAGCCACAGAAACCACAGAAGCCATACGGCAAAATGGCTGCCTCGAGGGCCAGACCCAGAGAAAAAAGCGAGAGAGTGTGAAGGAGAAGCCTCTAATTAAATGGGTGTACCTGCTGAATATGGCTAATAACCAGAAGGAGGAGGAGAAACGACGGCAGCAACATGAGGAGCTGGAGCGAAAACAAACTGGCCAAAAGGGCTGTGGCCACCTGTTGCTGATTAGTGGCCTCTCTGTCTTCGGGTTTGTGTCTCTTTTCCCCCTCTTTTTCATTTTATACGACGCCATGTTGCCTGTAGATTTGCATGATACTGCGATCGAACACCCCCAACTTCTCAGATACTGCAGATATTGCAAGACATCGCGGCATATGAATATTTTATGAGCTGGCAACCGGCTGTTTTGGAGGCCAACCGGCGACAGTCGGGGAGCATTTGAAGTGCCAGACAAATTGTTGCCTACAAATCAATTAAATTGCTAATCAACAGCGACAACAAACAAAACGGCAGCAGCAGCAGCAACAACCACAGCAGCAACTGTTGCAGCCACGGCAGCAACATATCGTGTATTAGGCTCACAATTTAATGGAGCCGCATTCCAGAGGCGAAGTCTAGAAGCCATTGTTGGTTCCCTATCGCCAAAGCGACCACAAGAAATGCATAAACATATTGCAGATTGTTTTTTCCCTTTTTGTTTATTTTTTTGGGTGCTGGGGAGATAAATAAAGGGGCCAAACACAAAACAAAGCTGCCAGAGTCTTGGACACAAACAAGTGCGCTGCAATTGGGCAGTTAGGAGGGGGTTAGCAGGGGTTAACCGGTGGTTAAACGGGAGGTTAATGGGGGAGAGAGGGAAACACTCGGTCAGAAAAAGAATAAAACTAGCACGACCCGAAAAACCAAAGCAACAGCAACAGAAACAGAAGCAACATGGAAACACCGCAGGCGGCATTTGACAAAAAGTCAACTAGCCACATATATGAGCATGGCTATGGGCTTGAATATATTGAAGGCACTGAAAGAGGTGGCTAAAATAAGCTGAGGCTAGGTAAGATAGTAGGAATATAAGGGAAAGAATTGCTGAATAATTATTGGGAATACTACTTAGATCAGGCATTCGATTTAAATTACATTTACTTATACCTTTAACTTAATGGTGGTTGAGTCTTTGTCAGGTGTGTGTCTTTCTTTATTTTCTATTCTAAGATTTAATTATACTTATTTTATGGATCAACCTTTTCAAACGCCCATAGCTATTTTACGGGGCTTATGGTACCTCCCACTGTTTCACTTGTCGTCACCATTAACGAAAGCAAGCATTACGGCATTAGTTAGCTGCTGTCGAAATTCATTCGATTTAAAGCTACATATACCAGTCCCCAGATTCCCAATCCGATTCAGATTCAGATTCAGGCACTGGCGCGGATTGAGATTCAGATTTAGACTCGAGTCTGAGACTCGCTTCCAGTTTCAGGTTACCACGCATGAGGCTTTTTTATGTCGTTCTCCATTTGTCGCCTGGCACTTTTCTAACTTGCTGTGGGAAAAGGAGTGGCGCTGGAGGATGGCGAGTGGAGGCTGCAAGCTGGAGGGGATCGGGATTCGGATTCGGATTCGGACTACGGGGATACCCGAGAAGAGGGTTGAGAAGCGTGAGAGCCGACAACAAACTGCGCCTGCGCACGCGTTCAATTAGCTGCAAATTGCAAATCGTGCGGCGCATGCGCAACGTCCCGATGCGATGTCGCCACAAACGGCGGCAACATGTTGCTGCTGCTGCAACAACACACAGGAAAAAACGGCCTAAATCTTTAATTGATATTTTCAGGTCAGAAAGGTGTTTAAATTGTTCGTTTGATGAGTTTGAAAAATCTAAAGTCTATGGCTAGAACAGTTTTTATTCATCTTGTTTCTCTCTCTCAATATAAAAATAAAATTTGTTGATATCAGATAAGATTGTATAAGATATAATTATAATTAACATCTTTACCCTATCCAGTATTTGAAATAAATAAATTAATTAATATGAATTACTAAACTTATTTTTATAGATAATCTTTTTTTCAGTGCACAGCAACCGCAATACCAACGGCAACAGTTGCTAATGTGTTGTCAACAAAACTCATGTTGACAGCAGAATCGAAAATATTTCATTTCAAATTTGTGCTGCTGCAGGTTGCAGGTGTGGGAAAGAGAAAGGCTCCAAGGAGGTGTCGATGTCCACTGTTAATTGGGTGGATTTGGATTGCCTGGCTTGGGGGGCGGTGGTAGGTGGTTGGTGGTTGGTGGTTGGTGGGTTACCTTGAGAGAGACACATCCTGTCGCCGGTTGCAAGTTGCAACCATAACTCAGCTGCAGCCACTGCGGCAGAATTTGCATGGAGGGAATCGAATTTCTTGCGGATAGATTCGAATGTTGCTGTTGAGTGAATGATAACTGACAGTTGAAACAGCAGCAGCAGCAACAATGCAAACATTGCATCCACAGCGACAACATGTTGCTGCCGCATCCTGAGGAAGTCGCCTGTTTTTGCTCCACGGCCTTCTCTCTGCTCCTCGGCTAAATGTCAATAAATATTGGCAATGCTCTCGTCCCAGACGCTGTCATTGTCATGGTAGCTGCGGTCGCCCAACAGCAGCAACCAGACACTTGTAAAAATACATAAATGTGCATAAGATTAAAAACTTATTAAAATTAAAAATAAATTTTAAATAATAGTCAGAAAATATCTTTAACATCTTAACAAATAAGTTAACTAGGGTAAAAATGGGTGGAACAAGTTTAGAATGCTGTTGCTTTAATGGTTTTGGGTGTGCGTGGATTCTTAATTAATAGACGACAGTTTAATATATATATCACATTATTTTTAAATGGTTTAGGGCTACCGCGGGCTTATTTAAAAGCGAGGAAAGAAATCGTCGTGTTTTCAAGCTGGGAATTAACACAAAGTTCTTAGGAGAATTTTGCAATTTTGTTATGTATGTAATAAATATTTATGCACTTCATAAATTAAAATTTGAATAGATTTTAAAGACTTAAAGATGGTTCTTGAGTTATAATTCTCCTTATAATTTTGATTTTTTCCACGTATTTTCCTGAAGTGTAGCAGCTGCTTGGAATGCCAGCAATGATCTCTCGCGTTGTGGTTCGTTTCTGCCAATTCCGAATGCGCACATAAATTCTATCAAACAAGCAAATGGAAATATTAAGGAAATTTAGACATGCCATCCCAAAGTGCGGGGAGCTGGAGAGGACCTGCGGAGGATGGAGGATGGAGGATCCATGGGACAGCAAGGCGGAGGCTGGGAAGTCAAAGCGACCGCCGCCAATTTCGAGGCGCGGCAA